TGAGATTCTATGATTCTGTGAGGTTTGGAGCTTGGTTCCATTGCCCTGTGGATGGTGAGGAAAGCCACCAGGATTTGGTGATCATGGACAAACAGTAATTCATTTCCCAAGAAGTGTTCCTTATGAGTGGATTCATGGGCAAGAACAGTCAGATCTCAGGATTTAGAGCTGGAAGGGACCTTGGAGAGCATCTAATCCAATCTCTTTGTTTTACAGATGTGGAAATTGAGGCCCAGAGAGATTAAATGATTCGTCCAATGTCACACAGGGAGTAAAGTAGCAGGACCAAAATCTGAACCCAGGTTCCCTGACGACAACTCCAATATTCTTTCTGTTATGCCACCTTATAGAGATTCCTAAAAAAGAATCAGAGTTTGGCATGATAAAAACCTACATAACGAGCTGAATGGCCCTTATATCCTTAGTCTTTCCCCTTTCATCCCACTTCCTGTCCTGGATCTTGACTTGCCTATTTCATATTTTCACTTGGAGATGATGCTGTCACCTGAAAATCAAATGTCTCCCAAACAAGTGCCCTTTCCAATTTCCCTGGCTCTGGCAATGACCCCACTCTACTCTCCAAGTCAAACAAAACTGGGATCATCTTTAAGAAATTATTATGAACTTGACAGGGATATGCAAGCATGATGATTTCCACATGCAAATAAGAACAGAAAAAAAGAATTCCATATTAAATTATGAATCTCAATTACAGGCAGTTTGTTTTTTCAAAGTATAAAATACTTTTTACATAGTAATTCCAATACTGTCCTGCTGGCCTGTCTATTTCCAAATTTTCTTCTGCTCTTTTCTGAGTATTTTATAAAAGTTTCATTAATACTCTTTTCTTTCTTTCTTTCCTTCCTTCCTTCCTTTCCTTCCTTCTTCCCTCCCTGTCTTTCTTTCTTTTCTCTTTCTTTCTTTCTTTCATATTGTTATTACTACCTATCCTTTCCCTATAACTCTCTTTCCTTACCCCCCCAATTCCATCACATGTAATGTAGTCCAGCAAAACAGTGCCACACAAATTGAGGAGATGACCATCAAATGGGGAATAGCTGAACAAGTTGTGGTACATAATTATGATGAAATACTATTGTGCTATGAGAAATGATAAGCAGGATGCTTATAGAAAAACCTAGGAAGATGTACATGAACTGAAGCAAAGTTAAGTGAGCAGAACCAGGAGAACATCTAGCAATAGTGTAACAGTGATCAACTGTAAATGACTTAGCTATTCACAGCAATACAATGATCTAAGACAATTCCGAAGGACTTATGATAATGCTATCCACCTCCAAAGAGAGAACTTTTGGAGTCTGAATGCAGATCAAAGCGTACTTTTTAGAACTTTTTTTTTTTTGTCTAGGGTTCTTTTTTGTCTGTGTTTTCTTTCACAACATATCTAATATGTAAAAAAGTTTCACGTGATTACCCACGTATAATCTACATCAAATTGCTTGCCTCCTCAAGGAGTGGAGAGAGGTGGGAAGGAAAGAATTTGGAACTCAAAATTAAAAAACAAAAAGAATGTTAAAAAAAAAAAAAGAACAAAACCAGTTGCGCACATTGACTATGTCAGAGAACACATATCTTATTCTGCACCTTTGGACCACCATCTCTCTGTCAAGAGGTGGAGTGTATGATTTACGGTCATTCTTCTGAAGTGACTGTTGTTCATTGCATTGACCAAAGCTCTTATCTTCCTATGTAGTGTTATCGTAAAAATTGTTCTCCTGGTTCTGCTCACTTCACTTGGCATCAGTTCGCACAAGTCTTTCCAGGCATCTCTGAATCCATCCCTCTTGTCATTTCTTATAGCACAATAATATTCTAATACATTCATAAACCATAATTTGCTCTGCCATTCTCCAATTGAGGGGCATACCCTTTGTTTCCAGTTTTTTGCTACAAAAAAAAACCACTGCTATAAATATTGTCCTACACATAGGTCCTTTCCCTGGCTTGTAGTCGTCTTTGACTCACCTCTTTCCTTCCTCTTCCAGTCACCAAATGCCATTTATTTTTCCTTTCAAATGCCTTTCATTGCTATTCCTTCCTCTCCTTTCTCACCACTATTACCATAGTGTATGCCTTCATCACATCTGGGTTGCTACTAAAGAGCTTACTGTTTGACCTTCCTGAAGTCAGTCTCTTCCCCCCACCAATCCATCCTGTATACTGATTCTGGGTATTCCTTTAAAAAAAATTAAATTAACAAGCATTCATTTTTTTCCTTTCTCTCATCTCCCCAACTGAAAAAAAATAGAAAGAAAAGACAGGTCCTCGTAACAAATATGCACGGTCAAGCAAAACAAATTCCCACATTGACCATGTCCAAAAATATATGTCTCATCCTTCATCCTGAGTCCATCACCTCTCTGGCAGTAGTATGCTTCATCTTTGGAATGCTTTGGAATGCTTCTGTCCTCTGGAATTGGTGGCCTGCTGGCTGTTCCCAGAACAAGATACTCCATCCCTTGACTCTGGGCATTCTCTCTGGCTGTCCCCAAGGCCTAGAATTCTCACCTTCCTCTGCTCCCACTACTGACCTTCCTGGCTTCCTTTAAGTCTCAGCTAAAAATCTCACCTTCAATAAGAAACCTTCCTCAGCTCTTAATTCTAGTGCCTTCTCTTTGCTAATCATCTCCTATTTATCCTGTATATAGCTTGTTTTGTATATATTTATTTGCATGTTGTCTCCCCCTTGAGAGTGCAAGCTCCTTGAGGGCAGGGACTGTCTTTTGTCTCTTTTTGTATCCCCAGTGTTTAGCACAGTGCCTGGCACATAGTAGGTCCTTTATAAATGTTGATTAATTGGTCACTGCATTGATCAAAATTTTCAAATCTTTCAAAGCTGTTTGTCTTTCATACTAATACTGCTTAAACATGACTTTTGTTTTATTACTCTGGTAAAAACACTTATGGTGTTTCCTCTTTCCTGCCAGATGCTTCTTCCTGGCTTTCAAAGACGTCTACAATCTGGCCCTACCCTACTAACTAGTCTCATTCTTTTCTTAAAAAACAAAAACCAAAACAAAACTGTCTCCAGCTTTATTTGAGAACACACAGCAAGTATTCAGATATCCAATGGAGGAGGAGCCTCAGGGAGTGGCTGGGAAGGCTGGCCAGCCAGTTTACTTTACAGGCAAGGTAAGTTTAAGGGGCCAGCCCCGGAAAGGCTGCAAGTCATGACTTCAGCCCTATACTTGGTTACAGTGTCCTCAGGCTTCTTGGTCTCAGCTACTCTCGTGAAGGGTGAAAGCGTTCCTCAGGAGGTAATGGGCTCTCCCAGCTTGGAGGCCTTCAGAGGCTGAAAGACCATTTGTCAGGTAATGTTGTATGTAGTTGGGATTCCTTTTGTATGTGACTTAGATTGGGAATTCTTTTTTTCTTCTTTTAAAAAAACTAATTACTTTTTAGTTTTCAATATTCACTCTTGTAAGATTTTGAATTCTAAATTTTCTTCCCCTCCCTCCCTTTCCCTCTCCCCAAGACAACATGCAATTTGAGATCAGGAGTTGTTAATGAAACTTTCTTGTGTCACAGACCCCTTTGGCAGTCTGGTAAAACCCATGGACCCCTTCTCAGAATGTTTTAAACACAAATGTATAGAATTACAAGAGATCAAATGAGATAACATGTAAAGCATGCTGTTGTTCAGTCGCGTCCAACTCTTCATGACCCCATTTGGGGTTTTCTTGGCAAAGACACTGGAGTGGATCGCCATTTCCCTCTCTAGCTCATTTTACATGTGGAGAAACTGAGGCAAACACAGTTAAATGACTTGTCAGGGTCACATAGTTAGTGAGTCTCTCAGACTGGATTTGAATTCAAGTCTTCTTGACTCCAGGCTCAGCACTCTGTACACTGTGGTGCCATGTAGCTGCCCAGCAAACCTTAAAGCACAATATATTGAAATATTATATTGAAATACAGTCATCCAAATTTCTTTTTGGCTAGGCAATGGGGTTAAGTGACTTGCCCAGGGTCACACAGCTAGTGAGTGTCAAGTGTCTGAGGCCAGATTTGAACTCAGGTCCTCCTGACTCCAGGGCCAGTGCTCTATCTACTGCACCACCTAGCTGTCCCATCCAAATATTTTTAAAACCGTGTTCATAGACCCCAGGTTAAGAATCCTGGGACCAGAGGTCCCTTCTAACTCTCAGATTCTGTAGCTCTGATTCTGAGATATTCATTTCTTTGAACTAGGCACTGGACTCAGGAAGAAGGGCCATAGACACTGTGCCATCTGGGGGGCAGTGTGGTACAGTGAACGGAGCCCTGGCATTAGAGTCCAGAGACCTGGGTTCAAATCCTGCCCCAGTTACTTTAGAGGTGTGTGACTCTGGGCAAATCATTTGACCATAGTTAAATGCCTTAGTTTCCCTATCCCTAAAATTAAGGGATTGAACTTGGTGATCTCTAAGTTTCTTTCCAGGTCTAAATGGATGATCGTTTGACTAGTGGGATCCCTACCAGGAGGCAGCATGGATTTCCCAGAAAAGTATCTAGAGATGAACCTGTGTCCACCCTGTCTCTCATCATGTATGCCATTCCTCTGGGCAAAGTGTATGACATTCAGGGCCACCTTCCATTGGCCTGCTGCCTGAGTCCTAGATCCCCCACGACTCACGTCTGCTGAGTGTCTGGTTAATGACAGGTAGGTTCCAGGAGCTCAATGGCAGCAGGAGGTGCTTGGACAGCTGGTGCTTGGGCCATTGATACTAGTCCTCAAAATAAACAACGGTTGATCAAGGAGGAGACTCTCTGCTGGGCCCCAGTGTTAAAACGATGGTCTTACAGGAAGGTGAGCCTGTTAGCCTGTGCTGGGTTCTTGATGGTGATCCTCAATCAATCAACCAACCTACAAACCTTTATTAAGCACCTACTATGTGACAAAAACTTGGAGTGCAAAGACGAAAATTAAATAGTCTCAGTTCTTAAGGAATTTACATTTTATCAGGGGAGAAAAAATACACGTGTAAGTGTGTGCAAAATAAATGCAAGGTGATTTGGTGATTTCGAGTCTTCCTTGGAGCTCCTAGACTAAGTCCTCAATATCTTCCATTACTCCCTTCCACCCTTGCAGCCTCTCCCTGTGGTTGGATGGCTCCTTCCAGGATCTTCACTTAAGGAGAATGTCCAGGCCAGCCATGTCTCATTCGACTCCGGGCAGCCCTCCATCTCCCTGACTTCTTCTAGCATTCCTCAGGCTAGGTACCCAGCTTTTTAGCTTTCTTTTATGTGCTGTCTTCCTCTAGTAGAATGTAAGTGCCTTGAGGGCAGGAACTGTCTTTCTATTTGTATTCCCAACACTTCACACAGTGCTTAGCACATAGTAGTCATGTATAAATGCTGGTTGACTGACTACTCCCACTCCATTCAGATCATAAGCATACCATGTTCATCCCTGATTCTGGGTCTCCGCTCAAGTCCTTCTCTTCACCTGAATTGTTTTTCCTCTTTCCTCTATCAATCCAAATCTTATATATTCTTTAACATCCAAGTGACAGGCTTTATGAGGAAAAGGGAACCATAGTCGCCCTGGTATTCTGCCCTGATCAGACACACCTGGAGTAGCATGTTCAGTTTAGGGAGCCACATTTTGGGAAGGACGTTGACAAGCTTGTGAGTCCCCAGAGGAGAGTGGAGAAGGGCATTCAGATCACTTCATGTGAGGCTCAGTTGAAGGGGTTTAGGAGAGGGAATAAGCATTTATTAAGCCCCTACTATGTGTCAGATACTGTGCTAAGCAATTTGCAGTCTCAGAATTTCAGACTTCAAAGGTTGCGTGGTGGTTGTCTAGTTCAACTCATACCAAAAAAAAAAAAAGGAATCCCTGCTACACCATAGTGAGAAATGGTTATCTAGCCTCTGCATAATGACTTCAAATTAAGAGGAACTCACTGTTTCCCAAAGCAGCCATTCTATCAAAATTATTAGGATCTTTTTCCTGCCATCAAGCCTAGATTTGCTTCTTTACAATATCCATCCCTTAATCTTAGTTCTGTCCTCTGGGGCCAAACAGAACAAGTCTAATCTTTCCTCCACATGATAGTCCTTCCAATACTTAAACATAGCCATTGTGTTCCCCCAAATCTTTACTTCTCTTTACTTCATATATATATGTATATATACATATATATGTATATATGTGTGTGTGTATATACATATATATATAGTATTTATTTACCTGTGTAGATGTTGTTTTCTTCCCAGTAGAATGTAAGCTCCCTGAGGGCAGGAACTCTTTTTTTTTGTCTTTGTCCAGCAACTGGCACATGGCAAATGCTCAATAAGTGCCCATTGAATTGAGCTGGGGACAAGGAAGGGAGGTTACAGAGAGGCAGATCTAAGCTCATTGTAGGGAAAAACTTCCTAACGATTAAAGCAGGCCAGAAGTGGAATGAGCTGCTCCAGGGAGTAGTGAATTCCCGGCCCCGGAAGTCTTCAAAGTCTGGATGACCTCTTGTGGGGGACATCGTAGAGAGGATTCTTGGAGTGGATGGCCTCTGGGTCTCTTTGAACTCTCAGATTCTGGGGCTATTCTTGTTCTCACTAATCTCTCTCCTCTCTAAACTTTTAAGCATAAAGGGGACCTTTACTACCATTTAATCAGATGCCTTCATTTTATCAATGAGGAAACATGGAATTTAAGTGACCTACCCAAGTAGCAGAGCTTAGATTCAGACTTAGATTCTTCGATTCCAAATTTCCTCCACTATGCTATTTGATTATACACTACCTAGTTCACTGATTTTTCACATATGGTGGTTTTGTCTTTTTGTGTTGTGAGTTCCTTAAGGCAGACCCATGCAACGCTTTTCCTGTATAGAAACCCTCCTTCTAACCTCAGTGTCTAGGACAGCTACACATGTTAAAAGGTTCTTTGATTGACTGGGTCTAGTCCAGTTACTCAGAAGGCTATCTTATCTCGAGTAGATTGAGCGTCCAACCTCAAATTAGGCTTCCAAGCTCAATAGACTGTGAAGAGTTGGGTCCTATGAGACTGATGGATAGAATTTTGGACCTGGAATCAGGCAATTCAAACCTAGCTTCTGGGTTCAAATCTAATCACTAACATTAACTAGCTGTATATCCATTAATAAGTCACTTAATATCTCTGAGCCTCAGTTTCTTCATCTGAAAAACAGGAATAATAATACCAGTAGTACCTACCTTAGAGGGTTGTTATGAAGCTCAAAGCAGATAAGGGTTATCTTGCAAAACTTTAATTAGTACATTAATGTCAGTGATTATTAAATTATAATGAGAAAAGCTAGGCCATCACCCTTTGGAGGTAATGACAACCTCATGGCCACTAGGGGCCGCCCTAGGTCCAATTTTTAGAGAGTAAACCCTGCGGCTAGGGTGTCCCCAAAGTTTTTGTCCAGTTGGAACACTGTGTATATGAGAGGAAGGGGGAAGGGATGGGAGCCTCTGGGGCATGTCAGTTCCTGCCTCAAACCTTCTCCCAAGTCCATGAGTTAGGTCAGCCCTGGGACCCAGAGACAGTCCATCCATCGGAGGTCCCTGGCTTCAAATCTTCAGCTTTCCTAGGCTAGAATGAGTTCTATGTAGACTATCAGGGGACTATCAAAGGTAGTGTAGAAGCTTCTCAGTCTCAATGCAGCTGGTGCCTTTTTTTGCTCTGGAGTTGGTCTCTTTTAAGGATCAGTTGTCTTCTTTTTTGGGGGACCAATAGGGTGCTTCAGGGGCAGTAGGATAAAAGTCCAAAGTAGGGAAGAAAACATCTATCTACTCTCTTTTCTTTCTCGGTACTCATTCCTCCTATTTTGAATGGGACCAGGGAACTGTCGGCCTTATAGTATGGCGGAAAGAACATGGGCTTTGGAGTCAAAGGTCTTGGGTTCAAACCCTAACTCAGCCACCCCTGCTGTTGCCTTGGTCCAACTCCTTAGCTTCTCTGGGCTTTAGTTTCCCCAACTGTAAAATGGTGGGGGTAGGGGGTGGAGTTAGACTAGATAAACTTCAAGACTCCTACCTCCCAGATCTAACTCGACAATCCTTCAATCACTGCAGAGTACCTCCCCTTTGCCTCCAGGTGAAGATTTTAGGTACTTCTGCTGTAGAATCTGAAGGTCAGGTGTTGGGGAGCTGTCCATGAGCAGATCATCTTTCTACCTTTTTAAATTTCTCTCCTCTGTCCCTTCTCCTGACCAGCCCCTAAATGTGCCATTCTAAATAGCGTGCCTTTACTCAGAAGCCTTCACTGACTCTCTATTGTCTGCCAAACAAAGTATAAATTTTTGTCCTTACAAATGATCAGCTTGGTGGTGTAGTAGATATGGAGTCAGGAAGAGCTGAGTTTGAATTCTGCTGAATACACTTAACCGGAAGTGTGATCCTGGGCAAGTCACTTAATCTCAACCTCAATTTCCTCATCTATAAAATGGGATAATAAAGATATAGCACCTACCCTGTGGAGTTGTTATAAGATCAAATGAGATAACATATAAAGTGTTTTGCAAACATCTATATGTATGTTATATAGGTATTTTATTTGTATATTTATAATTTATGTTATTTTTATTTATATATTATTTCATTCATTCATTTTATATATGTATTTATATGTATATAGGTGTATATGTATATATACATATATATATGTATATATGTGTTACTCAAGGCCTTAATGATCTGGTTCCAGACAGAATGTAATCCCCTATGTTCTCCTATTTCCTTCACCCTGTCCCCTAGGTCTAGAATGAAACCCCTCCCCATCACAGAGAACCTTTCTTCAAGGCTCAATTCAGTTGCCACTCTCCACTTTGAAGTCTCCCCTTATATACTCTCACTCTTTGTTGATAGTGAATTCTCTCTCTCTCCCAAGATTTTTTTCATAGCTTTGCCTGGATTCCAAAGTACTTATCACATTCTCTCTCACTCTCTCTCTCTCTCCACACACACAGTTATTTGACTTTGTGACTTTATCTTCTGTTCAATTGTAAAGTCCTTGAGAACAGAGTTGATCTTTTTATGATCCATCACACATAGCATAGGCTTAATATGTTTATTGAAGGGGGGCGGGAATGAAAGGTCCTTTCCGGTTTTTACAGCTTTCAGTTCTGTGATTCTAGGATCCTGGGCAGAAGTGGTCATGGAAAACCTTGTGAAGGTGGCTTTCAGGGCTGGAGCTGAGTCTCAGAGATAGGATTCAGGTAAGAGCAACTTGTAAACCATTCACTCTCTTTTGCCTCTAGCTTGGGACGAATGCTCTCTGATACAAAAGAGGGACGAAGTATCTGGGAAGAGTGAGATCTTTCCTCCATCTCTCCACTTTTCCTAGACTTAAGCAAAGGCGTCCACGGTTATTGTATCAGCCCTTCCTGCCAGGAGCATCTGAGTCAGATCCCCAGGGGAAGGTGGAGCAACTTTAGCGGATGGACCTGGCCTGCTGCCAGTGAACTACTACCCTCCTGGCTTTTCATGTGTAACCAAGAATCAGCAAGGGTCTGGGGTCGAGAGTCCAGCTCCGTCAAGCCTTGTGAGGGGGGAGGCACTTGGCCACCCCCCAGGGCTGGAGCTGGAGGCCTCTGGCAGTTGGCTAAGCTGCTCAGCCTGACAGAGAATCCCAAGGTCCACAATCTCTGAGTTCGTCCCCCCTGAAGCCACAGTTGGGGTCAATGGGAGGAGAGGGCTCTTAACGAGGGTCTGGCGTGTCTGACGGGAGCAACACCCTCTGGGGACTTTCCCCGGATCTCCCTCCTGCCTGGGTGTGGGGCCCAGAACACGCCAGGGCGATTGCCTTATAAGTGACTCAGGGGGCGGTGTGAGGGGGAGAAGAATGCCTCCTCATCCCCCTCTCCCACATCCCACCTCCTGCAGACAGGCAGGGAGTTGGAAATCAGGAGGTTCTTGTCTCCATCGCTCTGCACTCCCCTTTTAGCAGTAACAGGAGAATCATCGGGGAGACACTGGGAATCAGATGAACTTCCTCAGGCGCTCTCCTCCTCCCCACAGAAGGCTACAGAGACCAGTGTGGGACCTGCCATAGGATCATGAAAGGGGCTTGAGGACCTTGTAGTTCTGGCATCTTCATTTGATAAATGAGAAATCTGAGCTCCGAGGTCCCACAGGTAGTCATTGATTGAGCTGAAATTTAAACCCAGGACCTTTGACTCCAAATCCAAAGCTCTTTCCATGATCATAAAAATTATTATTTGAGCTAACATTTATATAGCACCTATTATGTGCCAGGAACTGTGCTAAACACTTTATAATTATGATCTCATTTGATCCTTGAAACAACCCCGGCAGGTGAGTACTATTATTATCCCCATTTTACAGATGAGGAAACTGAGGCAAACAGAGGTTAAATGACTTGCTCAAGGTCACACAGCTAGGAAGTGTCAGAGGCTGGATATGAATTTAAATCTTCTTGACTCCAGACCTACTAGCTTTTGGTGAATGGTCAGATCTTTGACTTGTTCAATGAATTCAATTCATTAAACACAGGTTACTGCGTGCTGGGCTCTAAAGATACAAAAACAAAACAAAAAGTAAACAGCTACTGCCCTCTATTGCTATTTCTGTCTCGTATGTTGCATATCATCTGAATAAGACATGAATGAATGAATGAAAAAGCATTTAGAGGGGGGCAGAGCCAAGATGGCAGAGGGAAAGCAGTGACTTGCTAGAGCTCTCCCTCAAACCCCTCCAAATACCTGTAAAAAAATGACTCTAAACAAATTCTAAAGCAGTAGAACCCACAAAAAGACAGAGTAAAACAAATTTCCAGCCCAAGACAACCTAGATGGCTGATCGGAAAGGTATACCGCGCTGGGTTGGGAGAGGAGCGCAGTTTGGCGTGGGCGCACAGGCCACAGCAACCCTGGAGCAGGCCTCAGAGGACTGAATCGCGGGCAGCTGTGGCGGTTTCCAGACTTCTCAACCCAGGAACACCAAAGACAACTTAGAAGGTCAGTGGGAAAAGTCTATGACTGGGTTGAGAGAGGAGCTAGGTCTCAGTCACAAGTCCTGAGCATGGCCTCTGGGACAGCAGGTGCCTCTTGAGCTTCCTGCCCACAGACTGAGGGGGAATCGTGTGGCTGATCAGAGGGAAATTGCAGGGATCTCTTTGCCAGTGCTGAGGCAAGAATCTCTTGCTTTGCCTGTGCTTAGATCTGGGTCACAGTTTTGAGGAGCGGTCCTGGGGCAAGAAGGATCGCTGGCCTGGTGGAGCTTGTTGTGGTGGTAGAGAGGAAACACCTCGCCACTTATCATACCACCTTGGAAGAACTGAAAATTTTCAGGTCCCTAGAAGTATCTCTAAAAACAGCTGTACAAACCCCCGAAGCTTGGGACAGTACATTCTCCACATTGGAAACAGACTCTTACCTTAACAAAGAATTTCGAACTCAAGTAATTGGATGGGATCATGAGCAAGCAGCACAAAAAGAGTCAGACCATAGAATCTTACTTTGGTGACAAAGAAGATCAAAACATACAACTGGAAGAAGACAACAAAGCCAAAGCTCCTACATCCAAAGCCTCCAAGAAGAATATGAATCAGTCCCAGGCCTTGGAAGAGCTCAAAAGGGATTTTGAGAGGAAAGTAAGAGAAGTAGAGGAAAAACTGGGAAGAGAAATGAGAGTAATGCAAGAAAATCATGAAAAGCAAGTTAACAGTTTGCTAAAGGAAACCCAGGAAAATACTGAAGAAAATAACACCTTAAAAAATAGCCTAACCCAAATGGCAAAAGAGGTCCAAAAAGCCAATGAAGAGAAGAATGCCCTAAACAGCAAAATTGGACAAATGGAAAATGAAGTCCAAAAGATTACTGAAGAAAATACTTCCTTAAAAATTAGAATAGAGCAATTGGAAGCTAGTGACTTTATGAGAAATCAAGACACTGTAAAACAAATCCAAAAGAATGAAAAATTAGAAAACAATGTGAAATATCTCATTGGAAAAGCAACTGACCTGGAAAATAGATCCAGGAGAGAGAATTTAAAAATTATTGGACTATCTGAAAGCCATGATCAAAAAAAGAGCCTAGACATCATCTTTCAAGAAATTATCCAGGAAAACTGCCCTGATATTTTAGAACCAGAGGGCAAAGTAGAAATTTAAAGAATCCACTGATCTCCTCCTGAAAGAGATCCCCAAAGGAAAACTCCTAGGAATATTGCAGCCAAATTCCAGAGTTCCCAGGTCAAGGAGAAAATATTACAAGTAGCCAGAAAGAAACAATTCAAGTACTGTGGAAACACAATCGGGATAACACAAGATTTAGCAGCTTCTACATTAAGGAACCGCAGGGCATGGAATATAATATTCTGGAGGGCAAAGGAGATAGGATTACAACCAAGAATCACTTACCCAGCAAAACTGAGTATAATTCTTCAGGGGAAAAAATGGTCATTCAGTGAAATAGGGGACTTTCAAGCATTCTTGATGAAAAGACCAGAGCTGAATAGAAAATTTGACTTTTCAATACAAGACTCAAGTGGAACATGAAGAGGTAAACAGGAAAGAGAAATCATGAGATTTATTAAGTTTGAACTGTTTACATTCCTGCATGGAAAGATGATATTTGTAACTCATGAGACCTTTGTCAGTATTAGGGTAGTTGGAGGGAAAAAATTATATGTATGTATATAGATAGATAGATAGATAGATAGATAGATAGAGGGCCCAGGATGAGTTGAAGATGAAGGGGTCATATTTGGAGAATAAAATTAAGGGGTGAGAGAGGATTATACTAGGAGAAGGAGAAAGGGAAAGGTAGAATTGGGTAAATTATCTCACAAAAAAAAAAAACCAAAAAAGAAAAGGCTCTTACAGTGGAGGGGAAACAGGAGAAGGTGAGAGGGAATGAGTGAATCTTATTCTCATAGGATTTGACTTAAGGAGGGAATAACATACATGCTCAATTGGGTATGGAAATCCGTCTTACCCTACAGGCAAATAGGAGGGGAAGGGGACAAGAGAGTTAGGGGGAGGATAGAGAGGAGGGCAGATTGGGAAAGGGGGTAATCAGAAGCAAATACTTCTGAGGATGGACAGAGTCAAAAGAAAGAATAGAATAAATGGGGGGGGCGGGATAGGATTAAGGGAAATAGAGTTAGTTTTTCACATCATGTCTACTACGGAAGTGTTTTGCATAACTGCACATGTATAACCTATATTGAGTTGCTTGCCTTTTCAATGAGGGTGGGTGGGGAGGGAGGAAGGGAGAAAATTTGGAACCCAAAGTTTTTAAAACACATGTTTAAAAAAGAAAGTTACAGGTAGAAATTAGGATATTTTATTTTATTTATTTTTAATAATTTTTATTTAATTAATTTGTTTTTAGTTTTCAATATTCACTTCCATATGCTTTTGAGTTTTAAGTTTTCTTCCCTTCCCTCCCCACCTCCCTCCCTAAGATGGTATGCAATCTGATATAGACTCTACTTATACATTCCTATTAAACATATTTTCACATTAGTCATGTTGTAAAGAAGAATTAGAACCAATAGGAGGAACCACAAGAAAGAAGAAACAAAACAAAACAGAAGAAAAAAAGAGTAAAAAGTATGTTTCCATCTGCATTCAAACTCCATAGTTCTTTCTCTGATGTATAGCATTTTCCATCACAAGACTTTTGGAGATGTCTTAGATTCTTGCGTTGCTGAGGTCTAAGTCTATCAAAGTTAGTCATTGCACAATGTGGCTGTTACCGTGTACAACGTTCTCCTGGGTCTCCTCACTTCACTCAGCATCAGTCCATGCAAGTCTTTCCAGGTTTTTTCTGAAGTCTGCTTGCTCATCATTTCTTATAGTACAATAGTATTCCAATACATTCACATATCACAACTTGTTCAGCCATTCCCCAATTGATGGGCATATCCTCAATTTCCAATTCTTTGCCTCCACAAAAAGAACTGCTATAAATATTTTTGTACATGTGGGTCCTTTTCCCATTTGTATGATCTCTTTGGGATACAGCCCTAGGAGTGCTATTGCTGGGTCAAAGGGTATGCACATTTTTATAGCCCTTTGGGCATAGGAGCTTAGGATATTTTAAAAGAAAAGCAAGCTGTATTAAGAGATCTGATCATGTCCCAATCTCTTACTTTACCCATTTTATTGGTATTTAAGTTCTGAATAAAAATTAAAAAGAAAAAAAACAAAAAAAAAAAAAGAAAGAAAAAGCATTTAGACACTTATTAT